CATATCATGAGACAGATGATAAAACCGTGAGTTGGCAGCTTGGCTGCAACCCAGCAGAGTTCTTTGGAAACTGTGCAGGAAGCTCCACGGCACCTGGAAGCACATTCCGCCATGGACCGGGATGTTTGGCATGGGATGGTTTAAAAATTTAATGACTTTTACTTTGGCCGGGCAAACACTTTATAGGTCAATCAAATCTGGGAATGCTTTCCAAAGGACGCTGTAAGATGCCTGTGTGTCCTACAGGTTACACGCTCACTTCCTTCCGGCCCTGTCCAATTTCAGATTCCTCATTAGGAGCTGTCAAAATGCCCGAGCTTTCCAAAAAAGCAAAGCTTAAAAAAAAGGAATATTTAAGCCATCTGTTTTTTTATTAACTTCCACCTTGGAATGCGGCGGTTCCTTCCCATCAAAATTTGCCAAGAGGAATCAACAGGAGGGAAAACCTCACGCCTGGATAAAATGCTGGGGGTAAATTTTATGTAAAATGAAGATAGTGAGCTTATGGTGGGTCCAGGTGATGCCACTCACAGCTGGAGTGGAGCGAGCCCGTGGTGTCCCACCGGGGACATCCCTGCACCTCATCCTTCCCCTCTGGAGCAGTCCCAGGGTGGGATCAGCGGGATGGGTGGGTGCACAGACCTTGCCAGGAGTGAGTGATGCTGGTTTGAGGCTGAACAGCTCTCCTGGGGCCCAGCAGGCCAGAGGATGACGGTGACAGGCTCAGTATAAATAGCCAAGGGGAAACGGTGGTTCCGGACAAAGGCGTAAAAAGAAGTTTGTTTGGTTTCTCCTGTTCAGCAGGTAGGAAAAACAACATCCTCCCCCTGAGTGCATCACCTTCCTCCTTCAGAGCAATCAGTGTCAGAGGAAGTGATGTGGGATTCAGTTCTCTGGGCAGCCCTCTCGCAGCTGAGCTCCAGGATGCTGCTGCTGGGAAATCCTTGTTGTCCCCAGAGCCCCAAGTTTGGGGTGCCCCCCTTGACATCTGCCCTTTGGCCAGGAACAAACTCACGTGAGGCTGGCTCCATTGGGTAGAGCCTGGTGCTGATAACACCAAGTCTGGGGCTTTGATCCCTCTATGGCCAGTTAAGAGTTGGACTTGATGCTGCTGGATCCCTTCCAGCTCGGACAGTTCTGGGATTATTATTGCTCTGAGAAGCAGTGGTGGAAATGCAGGGCAGGACCACTGTAGAATGCCTGCGATAGCCAAGGTGGCCAAGATCAAGGATTTGTTTAGGTTGACAGAGACCTTTGAGATCACCAAGTCCAACCCAGCACTGCCAAGGCCAGCACCGCCCCATTCAAAGTGCCACATCCACAGGGATTTTAAATCCCTCCAGGGATGGGGACTCACCCCTTTCTATGAAGAAATTCTTCCTGATACTCAAATAAACTATCTCTGGCCCAGCCTGGGGCCGTTCCCTCTCCTCCTGTCCCTGTTCCTGGAGCAGAGCCCGACCCCCCGGCTGTCCCCTCCTGGCAGGAGCTGTGCAGAGCCACAAGGGCCCTGAGCCTCCTTTGCTCCAGGCTGAGCCCCCTCAGCTCCTCAGGGATTCTCCAGACCCTTCCCCAGATCCATTTCCTTCTCACTCTCCAACCCCTCAATGTTTTTTTTGGTGGTGTGGGGCCCAAACTGCCCCCATGATTTGTGGTGGACATCACACAAGATGAACCACAATGCTTGCTCCTCAGTTCAGGGAGGACCTGAGGGATGAGGGGATGAACAGATAATGAGTGAGGGGATGAGAGGATGAAGGGATGAGGGGACAAGAGGACAAGGCGGTGAGGGAATGAGCGGTGAGGGAATGAGCGGTGAGGGAATTCCAGGATGAGAGAGCATGAGGGAATGAACAGATGAGGGGATGAGAGGACGAGGCAGTGACGGAATAAGTGGTGAGGGAATTCCAGGATGAGAGTGCAAGAGGATGAGGGGATGGATGGCGGTGAGGGAATGAGGGGTGAGGGAATGACAATATGAGAGCATGAGGGGATGAGGGGATGAACGGCGGTGAGGGAATGAGGGGTGAGGGAGTGACAGGATGAGAGGGTGAGGGGATGAGGGGCTGGATGGTGGTGAGGGGGAATGAGGGGTAAGGGAATGACAGGATGAGAGCGTGAGGGCATGAGGGGATGGATGGCGGTGAGGGAATGCAGGATGAGAGTGTGAGGGGATGAAGGGATGGATGGCGGTGAGGGAATGAGGGGTGAGGGAGTGACAG